GGGCGCGGTCCGGAACGGTCCGGTAAACTAGTAAAACCCGTAATGTATCCGTTAAGTTTTTAACGGTCCGGTACGGTCCGGTTTCAAGGATGGAACCGTTCTGTACCATGCCGTTTCGGAACGGTACAAAATGGTACGGTACAATGTCAAACACATGCTAAAAATTTTGAACAAATCTTGCAATTAGTAGATATCTTCACACCAATCAACTCACATGAAATGTTGATATAAATACAAGAAATTGCATACGTAGTACTAAAGTTCACAAATACACATATAGTGCAACACACCTAAGAAAAAGTATAGGAAAATGATGACACACGAGATATTTGCTCTTTGTATGCCATGAGTATGGTTTGGTCCCCTCACGGTTCTATTTCTTTTTATTTGCTCTCTTTGGCTTGATGATTTATGTTTTTTCAGAAAGGGATGCCTTCTCGAAAGGTTTGGTTTGGTCCCCCTCTCGTCTTGTAATTTTTTCGGATTTTAATAAAACAACGGCAAATGTTCCCCGGCATTTGCCCCACTGATTTTGGTGGTTTGCCTTCCGGGTTTAAAAAAAAAAAATTATGACGCACAAGATAAATATCATCTTTAATTTACTAAGTTCATGTGAAAATATAAAAAAGAATATCGTCAAATTGTTGAATACTCCGTATAATAGAAATCTTCAATGTTCTTCTTCGTTCTAGGTTAAATATTTCTCCGTAGTTGTAATTTAATTTATAGTTGAAACTTGAGAGCTAAGATTTAAACCATATTAGTTAAGTTGTAAAATTGTGCAAACATGACACTACAAAAGGTCATGTACACTACATTACTAGAAATGATCAAATGAATAGTCCTTAATGATTTCTGAAATTTTAATATTCTTTCAATACATATCAAAATATAACATAAATTATCTAATGGTATATCATATATAACATAAATTATCTAATGGTATATCAAAATATAACATAAATTATCAAAATATATATATCATATAATATAAACACACACATTTAGCTAGTTTAGGAACGCATGAATACATTCTTGGGCAATAAAATTGTTTGTCTATAAAAGAGATCTATTGGTATAGAAAAATATAAAAATTCAAATGCATTATTTTCGAACGGTTCGGTCCGGTATTTTTCGGTTCTCAAAATCCAGGACCGGTCCCGTACCCGTTTCAAACGGTTCGGTTTCGGTACGGGACAAAAATCTATAGAACCGTTTAAATACCCGGTATTCTGTTCGGTACCATTACGGGACGGCTCGGTACCGGTTCGGTTCGGGTTTTATGTCCACCCCTAACAAAATGTCTGACGGTTCGTTTAAATATTTGACCATTTTGGAAAATGGAAACTCGAAAGTCTTGAAATTTGGGAAAAGTTAAATTCTCTTTTCTGGATAGTTTCTGTTATAAAAAAGAATCCAATTACTGTATTTTTTTCAGATTGAGAATTTTTGTTTTTAGATTAAAATTTGTATTTGCTTAAAAAGGTTTAATGGATATTTAGAATTTCCTTACAAGCTTACATCCAAACGACCTTATGACATTTCATAGGTAAAGATTGCCAAAATTATATTTTATTTTGCACTTAATTGCATACTAATATGCAATAATTTTTATATTTAAACATGTAAACTAATTTCTCATTACTTCATTAGTTCTTTAGCAAGCTATTTGAGTCGCTTCAGATGATATTTAAACAATTACACTTCCTATGTATTTAAAAGTTTATTACACTTTCCGGCCTATTTGGGATGTATTTAAAAGTTTGTTATACTTTCCCTTTTTGGTAAGTTTTTTTTAATAGTAAATTACTCTCGGGGACGGATCCAGGATTTCGAGTCAAGGGGGCCGAAACTTTTCGTTAATGTAGTGGGTGAAAAAAATTCACTAGCGTAGCGGGCAATTTTTTTTGCTAGTATACGAGCGAAAGTTTTTCACCAGTGTAAGGCTTTGCGCCTATTTATTCACAAAAATTCATTAATACATACACGACGACATTTAAATCTACACATTGCATTCTAAGCTTAGACATTGGCAAAATAAATTTAATTTTATTATTAAAGTGCTCTAGAAAAAAGTATTGATACATTAAAGCGTAAGAAATTGCAAATCAAAGGAAAATAATTTGAAAATAAAAAAGGATATATAACATTCATTTGAAGATAAAGAGTTTATAATTGATTCTGCTTCTGCTTCTTATTTAAAGCAGAAACAGAATCAGAATCTGTTTTCAGATACGAGCCGGAACTATAAATTCCATATCCATGTCATTTGAAATTTTTTGGGTCCAGATCCGGACCCATTTGCCCTTCGGGTCCTAAATATATGTTCCAAGTTTGGATCCAACGGGTCTCGGATCCGGGCCGGGTATACCCGCAAAAAAACTAAATGATATATGCAAACAAATATAGTACTTCGTATATAACAAAAAATGTTCATGTTGGAAGAGATTATACGGAGTATATAAATAAGCAAAATGTTGTTCTATCCAATACTCCGTATGAACTATACAATAATACACGGAGTATGTTATATGTATATATATTAGTGAACTCATAGAGAATCTAGAACAATAAGGGTCTGTTTACTAACAGAGATATTTTTCAGTTTTCTAGAAAACTACTACCTCCGTCCCACTAAGATTGGGACGGGAGAAGGTGGCACGATGATTAAGAAAAGTATGTTTGTGTGGTTGATATTAAATTGATAAAGTAAGAATAAAGTTAGAATGATTTAGAGCCACACAATCTTTACCAAATATGGTATGAGACAATCTTAGTGGGACTTCCCAAAAAAGTAAAATGAGACAATCTTAGCGGGACGGAAGGAGTAGAAAACTGGAAAATAGAAAATAGGAAACGTGTTTACCAGAGAAAATTGCTGGAAAACTGTAGAAAAGAAAACAGAAAAACGCGTTTACCAAGTCGTTTTCCAAAACGAAAAAATGAGACCTGTTTATCTTTTCCTTAATGATTTGGAGAAGTGTCTTTTACTAGTTTTTGAAATTTGGAAAACGCAAATGCCACAGTGCCGTTGCAATGAATTTTGCATACTTACACCTAGTGGTGGGTCCGGTCTCGTCCCGATGTCGATTCCATTCCGGTACCTCCATTCTCGTACCTTACCCATTACCCCTACCCTACCCACCCTACCCCCACCCCGCGTACCCCTTTTTCCTATAATGATCCTACCCCACCCCCTGCCACATGCCCCTACCTTGGCCCCACCCCGATCCACCCTACCGCCACCCCCTACCACCTCGACCCCACCCCAATCCACCCTACCCTACCCCCCACCCCTCGTATATTACCCCTTACCCCTACCTTACCTCTTACCATGTTCCCCCTACCTCGGCCCCACCCTACCGCCACCCTCGTACACCCACCCTACCACCATCCTACCCCCTCCCTACCCTTCCTTTACCTCGGCCCCAATCTGATCCCGGCCCCACCCTATCGCCATTCTACCCTTACCTTACCCCAACACTCATTACCCCCACCCTTAACCCTAGCCACGACCCTAACCCACCCACTACCCCCACCCAACCCCCTACTTGTAGACCTTACCACCCCACCCCCGACCATACCCCTTACCCCACCCCACCTCGACCCCGACCCCTACGAGTAGGTATGGGTGGGTATGAAGGGTTGTAGGGGAGTATGGGTACAGTGTATGATCGTGGTAAGGGTAGGGGTAGGGGTCAAGGGTGTGGAATTGGGTATAGGGTGTAGGGTGGGGGTACGAGGTATAGGGCCGGGGTAGGGGTTAGGGGTATGGGTACACGTACGAGGTGATCGTCCCCACATATTATATTATATATTTGTGTTTATGAATGTTTTTGTGTCTATATATGTATAGGGTTATTTTGGACATTTTAATGTTAAATAGTGTTTTAAACCTTTTGAAGTAAACATAGTCTTACAACATTGCTTATTTTATGCGTCGCTTATTAACGCGGGTCTTAATAAGCACCATTTAGTAACCCGTGAAGTAAATGTGTCCTTAGTCTTCTAGATGATCACATAACTGGGTGAAAAATTGATGCACATGTTTCAGATTTGAAAATGGAAAACTAAAAAACAGAAACATAAAATTGGAGATAGAAAAACTGAAAAGTAAAAACAGAAAACTGGAGAACGAAAAACAGAAGTAGAAAACAGGAAAATATCTCTGTTAGTAAACAGGCCCTAAAACGGGCCCTAAACAGGAAAATAACTCTTTAGCGAGAATCTCATTATTGTGGGTCAACAACTAACTAAGCCTACAAATATTAAAACATTTTTTATATTTGATTATTTCTCTTATTTTATGTTTAAATATTTCCATGTATATTGTGTGTGTATTTGTAAAAATATATAACTACAATTATCTCATCACGGGTCGGGTCTAAAACGGGTCGGAACTTAAAAATCCATATCCGACCCATTTTCTCTATTGTGTAACGGGTTCGGATCCGGATCCAGAAAATCATTCTAAATTTAGATTCACACTCTCAAATAAAGTACCGAATTCAGATCAGGTTCGGGTCTAGACCCGACCCATTGACTGGTCTAGTACTAGTACGCAGTACTTAAAGTGGAGGATTGAATTCCTTTTTTGTATGCCTTTCATTAATTAGTTTGAGACATACTCCCTAATATACGTAGTACTACTAATACATAGTGCTAAGTTATACTCGAGGGATAGATGACGAGACACATTTTTCCGTTTGGAGGAAAAACCAACTATAAGACAAATCTAGCGGCTCACCAAGGATTAAAAGGATTGCCATGCATTTTCGTTACTTAATTATTACTGGGTTTTGTCCATTAGCTCAAATTCTGCGTTAAAATCTGGGCAATTTCTTAATATCTTCATCTCCATTACCATCCATTTTCATGTTCCATTCTATCTATCCTATCACTAGACTGCAAAAAGTCTTTTGTCAAGTTTTGACGCAATCCTTTCCTCCTCCCTTTATTATCTTCTCAAAAGAGATTCACTATAAAAAGTCCTCTCTCACCTTCTGACCTTCCATCTCCCACGGCCCCAAAGCCACCAAAAGCGGTCCTAATCGCTACTTTACTTTCGATCATCAACAGATCAAAAGTCATCTCTCTCCCCCAACAAGCAATCATATTCTCAAATCTGCAAGTCATTTCTTCTTCTCTAATCTCTAATTCTACTATTTCATTCCCTGTTTTCAAGTCTACATTCTTCTATTCACTCCAGAAAGTTCTATTCCATCATCATCTGATCAACAGTATATTCTGTACGTGCCTTTCGGACCTAACTGAATATAATTGCGTCCGGACGAGACACTGAATTGAAGCTAGTTACCGTCACTATACGATCAATTTTTTTTTTTCCATTTTTGAAAAAAATGCTGGAAACTGTGAAGTACCTCATCGGCTCCGCCGGTGCAAGCGGCTTCGGCTCCAAATCCACCGCCGAAGAAGTCACTGAACCGCGTCCCGATCTTCGATCACTCACCGTTATTATCACAGGTATATAAATCGAGAGTCGGCGGTAACCGCGGTGTAGCGACGGCGGATTATTGACGTTTGGTGGTTGTTGCAGGTGCGACGTCGGGAATCGGGGCGGAGACGGCGCGAGTACTGGCGAAGCGCGGAGCACGATTGGTGCTGCCGGCTCGGAGCATGAAAGCGGCGGAGGAGACAAAGTCTCGGATTCTGTTAGAGTCGCCGGAGGCCGAAATCGTCGTTAGGCATCTCGATCTCAGCTCTCTCGCTTCTGTTCGGAGTTTTGTTGCAGAGTTTGAATCTCTCAATTTGCCTCTCAATATACTTATGTACGTACGAACAATTTTTTTTTATGTATTTATTTTGTTTATTTACTTCACTGAATTTGTTATATTCTACATTTCTACCTCGTTTTTTAAATTTAAATTAAATTATGCATCGAAGACCATTATACACTACCTCCATTTTAAAGATCAAAGGTGCCCACGTGATCCTGCACATAGACGTTGGTGAAGATGTGTTGAAACTAGTAGATAACTCTCTCAGCCTAAATAATAAAATTGTAAAAACTCTTTGTTTTTTCCTGACAAAAATTATAGTGGACTAGATATAAATATTTCATTACATCCTTGTATAAGTAAGTCTAAAATAAAAACGATAAACAAATGTGCAACCTCTAACACAAAGTGACTATATTAACAATAATCATGGTCGATTTTACATTTTAGTGACTTTGAAGTTATGATAATTTTAGTCACTTTTTAGCTCATGATTTCCATTTCAATGTTATTTTAATAAAAAACTCACATTTAATAAAAGGGAAAATGTACTGTTATTTCAATGTTATTTTAACAAAAGGGAAAACTGTCAAATCGATCCTCGAACTTTCATAAAAAAGTCAATTAAGTCCTTACATAGGAGACTTTGTCGCGCCTTCGCGATTTGGGACGGTTCCCGGTGAAATTTTTTGATGTAATTTTTTGAGCATATTATTCATCAAGTCTAGTTTAGTCATACCAAATTTCAGCTAAAACTTCAATCGGGAACGCATTCAAATTAATTCTTGAAGGTAACTGTACAATTAATTGAGTCAGCTGAATTTATTAGAAATATTGAAATTTGGCTTATATGCTTGAATTTCCAGAATTTGTTGAATCGTATTTTTGAGAAAAGTAACTTCGATTTTACATTATTATTCAACTCAACACAATCAATTAAAAGTTTATATTTGGTGAATAAGTTGATAGATTAGAAAAAATTTGGTCAATAAGTCAAAATTTAAGTTTCTAAACTGGTTCTTAATAGATAGTATATCTCAAGTATTGCTCATTTTTATGCAATTCTATTACATAAACCATATCAAAGTCTTAATTCAAAAAGATAGGGTGACTAACAAATTTAAGAAAAAAAAGAGAGAGCTTGGTCCTGGCATAATCGGTAGAGCCCCCAACCTACGCTCCGAGCACGTTACAATTAGAGTATGGACGACCACAACAAGAATGCCCAAAAAAAAGATCCACTAAGAGGATTTGAATGTAAGTGGACGGGTTGAAATATACTTATGTATACTTTTCCGGTTTGAGCAAGACCCGCTGTTAATATTCATTGGATCTGGATTCGGATTTTGGACCTGTTTGGTAACAACTGCATTGACTGGAATGGTTGAAAAGACTGAATTTGCTGAAGTGAAAGTGTTTGGTAATATGTTGACTGGAATGGCTGATTGAGTGTAAAATTACTATAAAAGGTATTAGTTTATTTGTGTTAAATATATGGGTGTGAATTTTACCAATAAACTAGTTTTGCTTGATTAGAAAATTATAAGACAACTTAAATAATTGATTAGTGTGGCAATCTATTTACTAAGATGACATAAATAGTTTCATAAGGAATTCTTCATTCACCGTAGATTCAACACAATTACGAAATAGAAACGGTGATGAAAACTTGCTCTTTGATAAAACCATTGGATAAGGATGAATGAAAAGATGAATTCCAAATAGATAGTGCAGTCGAGCAATGGCCTGTGATGTATTAGGTGTAGCTATGTATTAGCGTAAAACAAAAGGATAAATAAGTACTTATGTATATGCAAATGTACATTGATAAATTCCAGCTCAAAAAGTAACGTTATTTTGTTGGCTGATCAGAAAAAACCGCCCAAACAACCCATTTGACTAGTGTTTGGTTACTTTTTTGCATTTTTGAGGCTCTTCAGCCCATTTTTAGTCCTCCAAACACCCTCTTTATTAACTTACACCCTCTTTATTAACTTTTATTTTGCGTAACATGTTGATATTCTTTGATCACGATAAATGAAAATGTCATGTGTAGTAAAGAATATTTTAAATACGGTCTCTTATTTTGGATTGGGAGAATATTCGTTTCTAATATATGGCGAAATAAACACTGCAAGGACATTATCCATAATTCTTGTTTGTTTGTTTGTTCTCCGTACTATGTTATGTTGTATATATGCCAAAATTCTGATATGCTTTGATTTGGGCATTTCTAGAAACAATGCAGGCAAATTTACCCACAAACATGCCACTTCAGAGGACGGAATCGAGATGACATTCGCCACGAATTACTTGGGTCATTTCCTCCTAACAAAACTACTGCTGAAAAAGATGACCGACACCGCAAAACTCACCGGTATTCAAGGCAGGATCGTCAACGTCTCGTCCGGCATCCACAGCTGGTTTTCCGGCGACCCAATTCGTTACCTCAGCCTCATCACAAAAGACAAAAGGTAATTCACATTTACCCTGGCTATCTACGTAAATGAAAAAACACTTCTTATAGAGTTATGGCTTGCTACTGTCTCAAGTAAAAAAAGATTTACTCTTTTTTTACCCATTTTGGTGAATCAATAATGGTTGACATGATTGAACTCCGTGAGGTTGAAGTTGCTCCGGGGGTAAAATTCAGAGTCAATTAGTCAATTACACATCTAGGTTGTGTACATTTACACAAGAGTCAGACTCATTTTGGGGTACCCATTTGCTCCTCACCTTTTGTGTGGTTCAAATGAGTTCATAATTGAGTTGTTCCACTTAAATAAATTGTTCCATTTAAGACACACAATGGAGGTGTACAAATGGGTATCCCAAAACGGGGTACCTATAATATTTTTCATTACACAATTACTCGCCTCAAATTTTAAAATCGAAATATGAGGTTCATTTCGAGCTTCACCGAACTCATGCTTAAATTTATGTGTATTTCACTATTGTTAAATTTAGGTCAATCTAGTCTGATGTAAATTGATTTGACATGTTTAAATTTGTTTAAATTTGGAATTGAAATCAATCTAATGAATCTAGTCGAATGTAATTGATTTGATTTATTTAAATCTGATATGATACGGTCTCGGACGGGCCGCTCCTAACTACAATTCTAATTCAACTTTCTCTGATCAAAATCCCAAATAGTTTACAAATTGATTTGTTTGTAGACTACACTTCACCGAGAGGAACATAAGTTAGTACTCCGTATTTCACTTCATCAACTCCAATCGCTTGTGATATTAACAGATTATTGTACTAATAATGAATTGAGATTTCATGAAATAAGGGCCGAAAGGGACCAAAATTAATACAAAAAAATCGTAGTTAAATTAAACAATACGTATTAATAATAATACTGTACTTTTGTATTGGGTGGTGAATGGAACAGTAAATACGATGCGACGGGTGCATATGCGCTCTCGAAGCTTGCCAACGTTTTGCACACCAAGGAACTTTCCCAGAGACTGAAGGTAAGCTTCTCATTCTCTTCCCCTCGCTAATACTCCAAATTAGAGAACATATTTATGCCTTAACTAGGCGATTAAACTCATAATCTCCCAAATCGGGAGAGATACTGTATTAAAATGAAATAAAGAAAAGCGAAATCTGTTGGTTTGCGATCAATAATTTAGGAGGTGGGCGGGAGGGGCACATGGATTAAATTAATTGTGTCGTGTTGTCTTGAAAATGTTGCAGCGAATGGAGGCAAACGTGACGGTAAATTGCGTTCACCCAGGAATTGTAAGAACCAGGCTCACTCGAGAACGCGAAGGCATCTTTACTGGTCAGTATCACACTTTTCTTTCACATGCGTTTTTAAAGCACAACACATTTATTTATACATGGAGCAATTTAGGAAAAGTTTTCATTTTGGGCACAAAGATTAATGGTTGGTTTGCAAATGCATTAAAAAAAAAACACTTTTTTGCTATTGAAAAAAAAAACACTTATTTTACCAAACACTACAAACTTTTATTTTTCTCGTTTTTTGTGTCAAAAGTGCGTTTAATTTTTGTGTCAAAAGTACTTATTTTACCGAACACTATCAATTTTTACTTTTCAAAATCACTTTTTCTCAAACATTATCAACTTTTATTTAATCATTTCTCCCCATTTCATTAAAAAAACATTTTTTAAAATATAAGCTGTTGCAAATAGACCCTAAGAAAGTGTGACAGAAAGACTAAAGAACCTTACTTTACTGTACTGTTCATCGTTTTACTTTTACTGTTCATTAAAAAGGAGGGACATAAATTTTAATCCACTTTTAATTCTTTACCAAAAGGGAAACAAGACCATCATTTTGGGACATCCCAAAAAGGGAATACAGGATCATCATTTTTGGATGGAGGGAGTACTAGATAAGATTTAACTAAACTTAAACAATTATAAAATACACATAGACCAAGATATGTAATTGACCAATCCATAAAATTCCAATCTAATTAAAAACATTCTAATTAATCTAAACTAAATGATTTCAAATGAGCCTAACTAGATACTGACTTCACTATTAATTCGTATTTTTGACCTTTGCTTACTACTATGTATATAATACTAATAGAAATGTATTACGAAATACTACTATTATGCTACACATTATGATATAGTCTGTTTGGGAACACTAAAAGTGACTGAATCGGTTGATTCTGATAAAATTGATGAAATTTTGAAGCGGTTGAATTAGCAAAATGTATTGAATTTCGAACAAAATATTAAAATATATTTTAATAAAATAAAGAAAATATTATATGAAACATAATTATAATGATTCTTTACCGTAACTTCAATCAGGAAAGTAATTTCGACTTTATTTATGTTGATTACTCTATATTATACAACAATGTAAAATACTCCCTCCGATTCAAAAACAAGTTCTAAATTTGACTTCACACATATTAAGAAAAGAAATTTGACTTTACTGTGGATTGCACTGTTTGGCACTATTTGGACACTGCTTGGAACTGTTTTGATGTATATAATTTGTCAAATAAGGAAAGATTTGAAAGTGGAACTTAATTTTGGAACTGTCCGAAAAGGAAAGGTGGAACTTCTTTTTGAATCGGAGGGAGTAGAAAATTGCGTTTTCAGGAAAAAAAAATGATTGAGAATAGTCTTCAAGACCCTAGCAATCTATTTATTGTGCATCTCTTCATTAATGATGAGAATATAATTTTGAATATTTTGCAGAGTTGATCTTCTTTTTGACTTCTAAACTCTTGAAGACCACCCCGCAGGTAACTAAATCTCTTCCTCTAATTGATGAGAATTATGTCTTTTGGATTTATGAGATGGTCGGATTAGGTTTTGGATGTCTTACGCGTATATCTTGACTTCTTTAGATTCTTATCATTCAAATTTTAACTCTGTATAAAATTTGAAGTAATAATAATATTATGTGCAAGTGTAATGCCACGATACATTATTAATCACTCTTTCCCATGCAAACCTTTTCTATACATTAATCACTCTTTTCCATGTCTAAACCTTTTCTACGTTAAATAGAACAACGTTTAGAATCTTGGAATGTGACAAACTGACAGATACTCCGTATTTTGTTAGGTTTGTTAAATACGGAGTATAATTTGTTTTGAACCATTTATGGTAAATATAATTGGCTTCTTTGAATTAAACCTTATATTTAAGGAGTAGTATAAATTTCGTTTATACGCCCGTACTTTCAAGGTGCATTTTTAGATCTAAAAGAATTGATTCTGATAGGCTGCAGCTACGACATGCTATGTGGCAACTAATCAGAGGCTGGCAAATGTTACTGGCAAGTACTTTGCAGACTGCAACGAGGCCTCAACTTCAAAGATGGGTTCCAATCTAACCGAGGCTGCAAGGATGTGGTTGGTTTCTGACATTTTAGTTACTAATAAAGATCCAAACGCTGCCCTTTCAGATCCATTCCCAGGCGTAGACTGAATTCAAAAACCCCATACCTGTCAATCACGTATATAATTAATTAAATTAAAAAGTTGTATAAGGAATCTATATCACATTTCAAACGTAGAACATGGGAGCTTATGTAACAAGGAATATACTGTATATTCCAAGGTAGTTAATTAGCACATAGTTATGGAAATGTAATAGAGAGGTTTTATCTTATGAGTATCATATGTAGCTTAGGATTGTAAATAAGTAGGTCTGGGTTGTCCGTGGGAATTAGGGGTACTCATCGAATGAGTCGAGTTTGAATTTAGTTTATATCGAGTCATGCTTGGTAAAGACATTTTGAATTTGAGTTTGAGTTGAGTTTTAGTTGAGGTGAAAAGTATATAACGAACTTGGTTTTAGTTGAGTTCCATTTGGGTTTGCGTTGTAATCGAGTTTTATCCTTACAAATGATAGAGTATATTTTTAAAAAGAGTTTGAATTTTGTATACAATTAATTTAAGCACATTTCATATTTTAAAACTTTAGAGCACTCTTAGATTTTTGTATATTAGGTTCTATTTAGGGTATATGATTTCTTTAAACTTAAGATGAATCAAGTTCAACTAATCATATTTGAATATGCTTGATCGTCGCTTGAAAATATCTAAAATTTAAATAACACTTTTAAGTCGTCGAAAACGTGAAGAAATATGTGGTTGGGTCTCTAGTATATATTTTTAATGAAAGACAAGTATATACCTTTTATGCATGAATTCATATTATGGATTTATGATGCAATGTCATATGTATGATGTTGGAACAGGTACATAACACTTTAATCTTCATATTGATCGAAATCATCTAAATAATTAATCGTGGGTAAACATGCATACTTCATACGAGTAGATCCTTTAAGATTATGTGACGGTGGCGGATTTGTGTTTTCTAATTTATACACACTCTTAAGGGTTCTTCTCTTTAGGAGGTAAGAGTCAATTGAATAGATCAACTTATGTGAGATGGAGTAAAGAGTATACAATATTACATTTGATCTTTTTAAGTACATAAATTCGGGGTTTTAGTGTTAATTGAGTACACTCGTTAGATTAACACATTAATACGGCTGAGTTGGTTAATAGAACGCTAATAGGTTGACTTCTTGAAGGTCGAGCCAGCCCCCAATCACTTCATCGACTTCTCCTTGGTCGACGTCAGTCCCTTGCAGGTCGACTTCTCCTTACTCGATCCATCCCTGCTGACCGACGACTCCCACAGGTCGATCTCCGAAGGTTGATTTTCCCTTTTTGATCGACTTCGTGAAGGTCGGCGCCATAACCTTGATCTATTACCATTACCCCATCTTACTCAACATTTCGTTAGCCAACTCAGTTATATTAACGGGTTAATCTAATGGTTGTACTCAATTAACACTAAAAATCCAAATTTGTGAACTTAAAAAAATCAAATGCAATATAATGTACTCTTTACTCCACCTCATACAAGTTGGTGTACTCAATTGACTCTTTCCTCCTCTCTTTAAGGCTTGTTTGCAATCACTTAAGAAAAGTGATTTTGGCTTTTTTTTTAAGAAAAAAACACTTATTTTACCAAACATTACCAACTTTTACTTTCTCGGCTTTCATGTAGAATCTACTTTTTACTTTTTCTATTACACAAAAAACACTTATTTTACCAACACTACCAACTTTCACTATTAATCACTTTTTCCCAAAAAGTGCTTTTATTTAAGCATAAGTGGTTGCAAACAAAGCCTTGGTGGTGGGATGCAGGACAATGTAATGGTGAGTTCAGAAGGGTCTATTGTCACGCCCCGGGCCTACCGGACACGTCAACAACCCGCCGTACAGTACGAATAGTCAACCGCAGTCCAACTCATCCATACTATACAAGGCGTCTTGAATATCATTCACAATAGTACATCCATAAACAAACATAATGTAGAATAATCATTTAAATCAGCGGAAACGTTTAATACAAGTGTTTATGCCCTACTTCGGCAAACATGGGCATGCAAGCCCCAAATAATTATTCAAAATAATATCCATGAGCATCGGTTTTAAATGTTTTTAAAAAAAACAGAGGCGGAGGAAGCACGAACCACGTCTTCCCTCCTGAATCTTCCCGAAACAACGGGCACCGGTAGCAAGCTCAACTCCTACCTGAAACTGTGAGGTGGCCTCCCCCGTGAAGGGGAGGTCAGTACTTGGAAGCATTTGACAAGTACAATGACAACTATACTAAGTATAATCAATGTTTCAATTTCCAAGACCCTCAAATAGGGTGATATAATAATATAGGTCGTAACCCGTGGTTACCCTCTTTGAAAATATACTTACTTTATATAAAGTCAAGTAGTCGGCCCGAAGACCCGTATGTATTTTGAAAATCCATCCCCTTTTTCCCCCGTGACTATTTGTCACGAATGTCATAAACCTCTGGTAAATTTACTCATAGTCATTTGGGCATTTCCCTATTACATGGCATAAACATCACCGAGCCTCGCCCGGTTATACTATTGGGTCATGCTAGAGCCATGCTCTTAGTCTCCCTACATCGTGCTAGAGCCTTGCTCCTAGTCTCCCTACATCATACTAGAGCCCCGCTCCTAATTTGTCTACATTGGCTAGAGCCCCGCTCTTAGTCCGTTTACATCATACTAGAGCCTCGCTCTTAGTTAATTTACATTGGCTAGAGCCCCGCTCTTAGTCCATCCACATTATACTAGAGCCCCGCTCTTAGTTAACTTACATTGGCTAGAGCCCCGCTCTTAGTCCATCTACATTATGCTAGAGCCCCGCTCTTAGTTAGCTTACATTGGCTAGAGCCCCGCTCTTAGTCCATCTACATTATGCTAGAGCCCCGCTCTTAGTCACCATCCCTACATGCTAGAGCCCCGCTCTTAGTCATCATTTCAACATGCTAGAGCCCCTCTCTTAGTCACGTTAATCAATCCCTAAGCAATTCCTATGCCTAGAATCGGTTTAGATTGAGTAGCCTTTAGGGCCTACTCCTATTATACTTAGAGCTTACACGTCTCGACCTTAAAGTATCTCTTAGGACTACTCAAGGTATAATTTCCTCACAACCCAACTCATTGGATTAATCTATTGTTCCTCCTATTAACATCTCGGCTAGTATTTCAATACTAGTTGAATAAATTTTGAACAACCAAGTTCTTAACCCATAGGCACATAGTGTATTTCAATTTATCTTCCAATTCAAATATAATTACTTCCCAATATCAAAATATCACTTTTACCCATTCATGAATTCCCTACATGAAGCAAAGTGTATTTTATCTCCATATTCTTAGTTCACTCAACTATCATTCCATCATATTCATAATCACGTATCCATACACACTTCATTCGCAATTCGCATATAATACTTCAATTACTCATAAGCAATTGTATTCTCATTTAGGCATTATTACTTATTAATAATCCATGAAAATCACATTTGAATACTTTAGGTAATCTTATGAAATTAACCCAAAGATTATAAACAACATAGTCAGCCATCCTCACCTTATGAAGTGCTGGATTAGTTGCCTTTGATAAGCCCTTCGATCGATCCCCGTTCTAAACCGATCAAAAGCGAAATTCCTGGACAGTAGCCCAAAAGCCGGGCGGCTTTCACCAAAGCCGGGCGGCTTTCGTAGTCTGCAACTACGAACAGCTTCTTCTCCTTGGCGGTTTCCGGTGGTTTCAACTCCTATCGATTCCACGACTCTTCTAAGTTAAATACCACCACTAAATAACAATATTATACACTTTTAAACGTGTATAACTCATGGTTTAATCCACCATATGATTTCTTAAAAATCACACAACAAAACTAGTTAAAAGATAAGAGTTGTGTTCTTACCTCTTCTTCTAGTTGTTTTCTATTGGATTTCCTTAGCTTCTTGCTTCCTTCAAGCCTTGGATGATGTGAGGACTCCCCTTAAGCTCTCCCTCTCCCTGGCTGGTTCGAATGGATGCCAATGATAGGAGACAACTCCTCAATCAATTGGAAGATAATCCAAGGAGTAGGACATGGGGGTATGGGCATTTGTCTCAATGAGACTCCCCTCATGCCTAGCTCGCCCCTCCCCTTATTTCCTTGTCCCCTCCCCATTATTTGGGGGTTATTTGACTGGTGGAATATCCCAAGTGGGTGTAGGAAGTCCCTCCCAATTATTCCTGCTATTTCTGGCAGGTTGGGCCAAAATAGCGCTCGGGTTGTCCAAACATTTTTATCAACTTTTGTTGGCACTTTATTGGGCTTCTATAATTTATTATTATGACCCAACTAAATATTTGGTAGTCCGTTCTCATTTTATGGACCCGATAAATAGTTTAATTAATCTCACATTAATTAAATATTCCAATCAATCATACGAAATTTATTCGCTAGGAATTTCAAATACATGTCAAATTTCAAATTCGAGTACATCCGGGTGCGGTGTCACAAGTTCACCCCCCCTTAACGGGAATTTCGTCCCCGAAATTCACAAATGCTTACTCAAACAGAAATGCATATTGATCCTTCATTAAGGCTTCCGTTTTCCAAGTTTCTTCTTCAACTCGGTCACTTTCCCATAGGATTTTCACCATTGGAACTTTCTTGCTCCTCAATTTCTTTACTTGCCTATCAAGTATTCTTATCGGTCGTAAAGCATAGTCCAGTCCTCGCGTATTTCCATGGGTGGTCCCTCTAACACGTGAGACGGATCTGACATATATTTCCTAAACATAGCCACGTGAAACACGTTATGTACCTTCTCCAATTCTGGAGTCGACCCCAAACGGTCTGTTACCGCCCCAACTCTCTCAAGAGTTACAAATGGCCCGATGTATCGTGGGGAGACCATCGTCTCTCCCTGAAATCCTCCACCGATCCCGCTAGCATGCGTTCTCGGACCTTCATTAATTCTTTGGGAGTTTCCTGACCCTTCTTGACCTCATCAAGTAAACTAGGTCCTACTCAAATTGTGTATATTAGGCACCATCGCTAGATACCTCCAATTGGGCTATTAATGCCCTCAACCAAGTTAGACAATACTGTATGGTAGTTCTTCATCAACTCCATTCCCTCGTGGCTTCAAGCCACGCTCATCTATTTTACTTCGTCATGCTAGAGGCTTCCTCTAGTCATGTATTATCGTGCTAGAGGCTTACTCTAGTCACTCCACTTGGTGTTAGAGGATTCCTCTAATCACCTTACATACGTGTGCTGGAGGCTTCCTCCAGTCACATAACATTATGCCAAAGGTTTACTCTAGTCACCTTACATTACGCTAGAGGCTTCCTCTAGTCGCCCTACATGAATGCTGGAGGCTTCCTCCGGTCATTCCTCATCGTGCTAGAGGCTTCCTCTAGTCACGATACTAGTTCACTAAGCAAATCCTATGCTTAGAGTTCCTCTATTATGAGTAGCCTTTGAGGCCTACTCCTAACGTAACTTAGT